ATTTTCAATGGCCACAGATGCATGTGAAAGTCAGACATTGAATAAGGAAGACCAAAGAAGAGTTGATGCATTTGAATTTTGTTGCTGGTGAAGCCCATTAAAGGTACCATGGATTGTCAAGAGAGCAAACAAATCTGCCTTAGAAGAAGTACAGCCCGAATGCTCCTTAGAACAAGGATGATAAGACTTGATCTCAAGTACTTCAGACATGGTATCAGGAGAGACCAATTCCTAGAGAAGGACATCATGCTTGGTAAAGCAGGGAGACAACTAAAACCAGGAAGACCCTCCACAAGATGGATTGTTACAGTGGCTGCAACAATTTGTGAAGATGACATAGGGCCATGCATAGGGTTGCTAGTCAAAACCAGCTCAATGGCACCTTCCAGCAACAAAATTTTGTACCTAAGAAGATTTATTCAAGATTATCACCACCAAGACATACGCAGATACTAGTAAAACTCAAGCTCCAGTTCCTTGCCATTGAGTTGATTCTGACTCATAGCAACCCTGTAGGAGGGAGCAGACTGAGACTGGAGTTTCTGACACTGTAGCTTTTTACAAGAGTGGAAAGCCCCATCTTTCTCCTAAAGAGAGGCTGGTATTTTCAAACTGATGATAGTCCATCACATAACCACTGTGCCACCAGGGCTCCTGGCTAGTAAAACTACTAAACCTTACTAAAAAAAAAAGTATGATTTATGGTGATGGGAAATGTGGAAGTGATTATAGGTGATGGTTGCACAACATGATTCATTGATATCACTAAATCACATACCCAAAAATGTTGAATTGGCAAATGTAGAATATGGGTTGGTTTTTTTTAAGTTTGGGGAAAATGAGATTAAAAAATAATGGCATTTTTCCATGAGGGGGCTTCAAAAATTCATGGAAAAATTCCACAATCTTTTGTTGTATATTTTCACAACAATAGCAAACAATGAAGAAAAAATAATCTTCTGGACTTCTGGGGGGCAAAGAGTACTTATAAGGGCAATAAATTAGGTAAGTTTAACTTGTCAACACATCATGCCGGAACAAAATGGAATACCATATTTAAGATACTCATGGAGATTAAATAAGGGTCAAGGATTTCATAGCCAAGAACACTTCACATGCTCTACTATAAAAGGAAAAGTTTGATCAACTTGGAGACTGTTGTCCCCGTAATCCCTTCTTAAGGCATCTGCTCAAAAATGGGTTTTAAACCATCAAAATGCCTAGAGAGGCATCACATGATGACTAGTAGTGAGCATTAAATACATGGTTATTTCTTCAACTAAAACTCTATGAGAGCGATCATAATATGTAAAGACTATATGATCTCAGGATGCCGATATATAACAAACAAGCGAGGAGGGTAGAAATATGGGTAGTATGTATTACTGTTTTTAATCTTTCCAGTTATGACTGGTGGTGGTTATGTCGTTGTTAGTGGGTACTGTCAAATCCCCATGTAATAGAAGAACTACCTCCAAAGAGCTTTCTTGGCTGCATTCTTTCTCCTGCAGAGCTGCTGAGTGGGTTTGAACCACCATCCTTATAGTTTGTAGCCAAGAGCATGACTATTCTGCCACCGAGGCTCATAGCATACTGTTTTAATCAGACTGTAAAGTCGAACTGGGAAAATGAGTAATTTTGAGATTTTCTATTTCTATTATTCCTTGTGAGAATCAGGAGTATCAGTGTAGAAGAAAAAAAATAAAGATAAAATACAATGAAACATCCAAAATTAGTGGGAAAATGAAATAAAAAATAAAACGTTTCTCAACATACGCTCCCATCAAGCTAAAGACACTTTTGTAAAAGCAATGCATTCCATCCATCTCTAGCGAACTAAGGGGCCAAAGGAAACATTTACTCAAGAACAAAATCCGAAGGGTTAGGAAAGAAGGAGGATTGGGGGGGGGGAAATACAGGAAGGAAGTATGATACATGATGTTACATTATAGGGATTGCAATCAATGAGATGAAACAAAATATGTATGAATTGTTGAATGTAATCTCTACTCCAAAAATTGTCACCCTAGTCTGTCTCTCTCTCTCTCTCTTTCTCGCTCTCGCTCTCTCTCTCTCTCTCTCTCACACACACACACACACACACACACACACACACACACCTGAGAATCTTGGGAATTTAACCACACCAGTGGTTAAATTTTAGAAAAATGAGCATCCTTCAAAGATTTTATTTTAAGATTAGGAAACAAAGAAGTCAGAAGGAGTCGAATCAGAACTGTAAGTTGGATGCCAAATGAATTCCTGTTGCGGTTGTGGTTGTGTTAGATGCTATCGAGTCAGTTGCAACTCATAGCGACCCTGTATACAACAGAATCGACATACCAGCCTGTGCAGCCCTCACCATTGCTTTTAGTGTCTGAGCCCATCATTGCAGCCACTGCATCAATCCATTGTATCAAGATCTTCCTCTTGTCACTGCTCCTCCACCTAGCATGATGTATTTTACCAGTGATTAGTTTTTCCTGATAACATGCCCAAAGTACGTGAGATGAGGTCTTATCCTCATTGCTTCTAAGGAGCATTTTGGCTGTATGTCTTCCAAGACAGATTGATGTCCCATAGAAACAAAATTGACCTTATTTGATGAGAAAAATAAGTAGTAACTTTGTCATGGTGGAGAGGGACTTTCTTGGGAAGCTTTTCCAGGGGAGGTTTCTCCTTAAGCCCTGGCTAACTTTCTCAAAACATAATAAACTGATATTACTGTTCTTTAGCCCAAAAAGCCAACAAGCAACATGCCTCAGCATGAAAATGAAAATAGACTGTTGCCATGACCTTTATTCTTGACTGATCTACTTTTGCCTTGATTGGACCACTTCAACCTGTTGGTACCCATTGCATTGTGCTTTGTTTTAAGGGTTGCATTTAGGCAAGAACAAAATCAGAAGGGTTAGGAAAGGAAAATAAGGAAAAACTATGCTTCATCTCCATTACAACGCTCCAAGAAATGCTTTAGAATCTTGAGCAATTTTGCTCAATTTTATCAGTCAGACTTGTGTCAGCTGGATCAGGTGAAATGTCTATGGTGTTGCTGATAGTTTCTGCTGTTAACAGTCAGTCAGTCTTCTTCATCAAAAAGATGATTTTTTTCTTGACCATTGATGTGAGTGGTTTGCTGCTGTAGACTTCATCTTCAACCTTGTCTCATACCTTTGTAAACCCAGTTGTCCATTTATAACCTGCTGGTTTCTTTGGGGGCACTGTCCCCATAAAGTTTTCAATAGAGCATTTCTGATTTAATGATGCTCCCCCACAAGTTTTGCCCTAAATTTTGTGTTTGTTCTGGCTTCAATTTTAGCAGAATTCATGTTGCTCTTTTCAAACTAATTTCTTATTCTTTGACACACAAGATCCAGTTCAAATATGCCATACAAGTTAGTAGGAGTTTGTTTGGTTGCAAAAAAAGTTTTTAACCTAGGCATAAATGTTTCGTGTGCATTTACCATTATTTGTTTGTTTTTTGAAGACCTTATACCAGAGGCTCAAAAAATCCCTATGATCTTGACTTTGAATTGTAAAATCAATTATACTTATTTTGTCTACTAGTGTCCAGTGTGATAATCCACTAGTAATAAGCATGCCTAGAACCCAAATTGTAGTCTTAAAATATACTTTTCAACTGAAGTAAGTCAAGGTGTCTTGAAGAAATAACTGACTGTATGTCTGGGAGAGGAAAAATATAAGATATTCCTGGAGCACCTTAATATATTAGATGAATTAAGTGCCAATAAAACTGTTAAAAAAATTTTAAACTGTCAAAAATATATTAGATAATAAAGTTAATGTTGACTACTAGGACCATATCAAAAGGATTCAGGAGTTAACATAAAGAGGACCCAACTGATCAAAGATGGGAAACTTTGAATTTCAATAATGGGTTGAAATGAATCAATATACATTTAAATCTATAAGTCCACAATAACAATAACAGTGGTAATATTCAGGGAAAGATAGGGATCCAAATCATCTTGAACTGATAAAGACATGGAAAGAAGCAAGCATGTATCCTTACTTTCTTATATCTAGTGTATTATTTTATAACCAAGTAATAGATGAGGGAAAATGAAAAGGAAATGATAAAATAGCATCACTTAGCAATCCTTGGTGAATTGATGCCTCTAGTCATTGAGCAGCAGTAGCTGCCAACACCACAAAAGGAAAGACATCAGCATGTGCCTTCAGATAAAAGAGCATACCACCAGCTAGCCTCTTGTCAAAGGGGTCGTAGACCTGCTGTCCGAGCAGGGCTCTGGAGACAGCTACAAATGGGTAGGAAATAAGAGAGGAGAGAAGAACATGATAAAGTGTACCATGAATATACAACCAGCAAAATCCTGACTGTGGGGAACTTAAATAGGTCAAACTGCCCATATTTTCCAAAGACTAAAGATCAGAGAAAGAGATAGAGGTGGAACCTATGGATTAAAAGAAATTTAAAAGATATACTTACTGAATTGGAAGGAAAGCTATAAAAACAAACTGTAGAAGTCAGGACAGTAGTCACTTTGGGGCAAATAAAGGGGCTTCTGCGAAGGGCCGGCACAGCTCTGTTTCCTGGCCTAGATGATAACGGTTATTAGATACTATCTGTCGGTCCTGACTCATAGTGATCCAATGGACGACAGAATGGTTGTAAATTGCTCTGATGTTGGAGCCCATTATTGCAGCGATTGTGTCCATCTATCTAATTGAGAGTCTTCCTCTTTTTCACTGACTCTCTACCAAGTAGGATATCCCTCTCCAGGCACTTGGTCCCCCCACTGATAACATGCCTAAGATGAATCACTGAAGAATACAATGGTTTGATGAGACTTTCTGTATCAGTGTCTTAGTTTATACTAAGATGCGTTTAAAGATATGTAGCTAAAGCATAGAGCCAACAAGTGAAGTACTGGTTGCTGAGGGCTGCGAGGTACGCGTGAACATAACGTGTGTATGTGAACATAACGTGTACACTCCGATATGTGCTTGCTTTCCAGGGCGATTCACTCGCCATCTGAATATCATTTCCATCAGTGGCTTTGAGGATGAAATTTTAACCAAGATTTTCAGTTCTATCGCTGACTGGCACTTTGGGAGAGGGTTTGATGTGTCATTCTTAAGGTAAGCTTCGGTGTCTTCTAAGCAATAGACCTGAGGGCCCTCCATTTGAATCTCCCATTGACAGATCTATCTTCTTCGTCTCCCCAAGGTATGGAAAGATGCTGGTGCAAGCTACTATGACAATTTATAAGACTGCAGTAGAGAATTTCTTGCCAACTCCCTCCAAGTCACATTATGTCTTTAACTTGAGGGATTTCTCACGGGTGATTCAAGGAGTACTGCTCTGCCCTCATACCCACCTAAAGGTCAGCCACTATGATTTCTGGTATTCAGCAGTATCCTTGGGTCTGCGGATGATACAATGTAAATAATAACCGTTAACTGTTATTAAGCACTTGGTCTATGCTAGGCATTGTGCCAAGTAGTTTATAAGCATTGCCACATTTAATCTTTACATCAACACAGCCAAATCTAATTGAAAACTATCTCCTGTCTCTGGATTTTCAGGACGTAGAAAAATTTATCCGGCTTTGGATTCATGAGGTTTATCGAGTCTTCTATGACCGTCTGATTGACAATGATGACAGACAGGTCTTCTTCAACATGGTGAAGGAAACCACTGCCAATTGCTTTAAGCAGACCATGGAAAAGGTAACTCATTCTCTGTGATAATTTGGCTTCAGGAATGGACCCAAGTGTTTGACCAAGTAGTCTCGGATTTTAGGTTCTGTTCCCAGTGCGAACTAACAGCTGCACTCTCTGGCTCCTGAGAAATAAGACTGAATGAATTAGTCATTTGAATTGGTAATTTTTTCTTTATTACACCTTTATTTCTGTTTCATTGTTATTGTTAGATGTCGCCCAGTCTGTTCTGCCTTATAGCCACCCATATTCTCAACAGAACCATTACTTCCATAGTAATATATAAATTTGGATCATTCAAAATGGTTTATAGCATAGTGAAATTTATTATGATTGAATTAAAGTATATTTGGGGGTTCAATTAATTTGTGAGTGAAGAAAGGTACCATGGGTTTCATGGTTTGATTGAGGCCCTGATATTATGTGAACGTTCATGATGAGAGTCCATCTATGAACACTTTCCATTTATATATATATATTTTTTAAACTTAAACTTTTATATTTATATCATTATGCCTCCATTGCTAAAAAGTTGTAGTTTCTTTAGATAAAAATTGCTGGAGCAGAGACCCAAAACCCATCTGTAGACAATAGGACACCCACTCACAGAAGGGTCACAAGGAAGGGATGAGTCAACCAGGGCTCAGTAAAGCACTGATGAAACACACCACATTCCTCTGGTTCCTTGAGGCTTCTCCACCCCACACTGTCATGACCCCAGTACTGCCTTTCACTGTGGGTTAGACCGGAACATGTGCACAGGTACAGATAAGAGATAAGAGTCCATGGCACACAGAATCCAGGCACAGGAATGGGAGTAGCAATACCATAAGGGTACAGGGTAGGTGGGGAGCAGAGGGGAGGAAGGGGGAACCGATCACAATGATCGACACATACTTAGACACACACACACCCTCCAGGGGGATGAACAATACAAACTGTGGGGGAAGGAAGACAGTGGTCAGTGTAAGATATAATAATAATTTATAATTTATCAAGGGGTCATGAGGGTGGGGGGAGGGGACAGGGAGGGAAACAAGAGTTGCTGATACCAAGGGTTCAATAGAAAGTAAATGTCTAGAAAAGAATGATGGCAACATATGTACAAATATGCTCAATACAATTGATATATGATTGTTATAAGAGCTGTAAGAGCCCCCAATAAAATGATCTTTTAATAAAAATTTAAAAATTGGATGAAAATTGAAACAAAATGGCAAGAGTTTGTATGCTAAACCCAGAAGCTAAGTTCACAGTATTACCAGTTTCACCCAGCAGAAGCTTCTAAAGCATCACTAATTTAGCACAGGGAGTAGAGACCAGGGGGAGTGCTTGGGTTTCTATGTGTTGTAGGAGCAAGCACATAAACAGTGGTAACAGCCTATGGTTACCTTTCAGGGTGGGGGGAGGTGTCTTACAATCTGACCACAATTTTTTTTTTCAGTTCATGCATGCAAGTTTATTTCACACGAAGAACTTCTAAACATATCCTGTGATGCGTAGTAGATGGCTACAGACAAACTCTATCAGTAATACACTTGTCTTAGTCTCCATAAAGGAGCCCTGGTGGGTTGCCATTGGACTCTGCTAACTACAAGATCAGCAGTTTGAAACCACCAGCCACTCCTTGGGACAAATATGAGGTTTTCTACTCCTATAAAGAATCGCAGTCTTGGAAACTCACAGAGACATTTATCCTCATACTATAGGGTTACTATGAGTTCAAATCAACTCTATGGCAGAGAGAGAGGGAAGGGAGGAAGAGAGGGAGAGAGAGAGAGGTGATGGCAGGGGGTTAAGTGTTGAAATGCTAGCCACAAGGTCAGTGGTTTGAACCACAAATATTTTAACCACCGAGAAAACAGACTGATCCTTGCTTTCATACTCCATCTCTAATGTCCTTTCATCATATTCTTTATAATCACACACACATATGTATGTATTTTTTTTTAAAAAACTAAAACTGTTGGTAAACCATGACTTTTGAAGAATGTTGTCAGAAGAAACATTCTGTTCCCTGTTCCCTCCCTCCACATCTCCTGCTGACATCTGATTGGGCCACTGACTAAATGCTTAGATGAGTCTCGCCTTTCTCGCAGGTCCTCATCCACCTGTCACCCACGGGAAAGATCGCCGATGATAACATTCGTAGCCTCTTCTTTGGAGATTTCTCCCATCCAGACAGTGACCAGAAGATCTATGATGAGATCACGGACCTGAAACAGCTCACAGTGGTCATGGAGTCCTACCTGGAAGAGTTCAACAACATCAGCAAGGCTCCCATGTCCTTGGTCATGTTCAGGTTTGCCATTGAGCACATCTCCCGGATCTGCAGGGTCCTGAAGCAGAGCAAAGGCCACTTGCTCTTGGTGGGCATTGGAGGCAGTGGGCGGCAGAGTGCCACCAAACTGTCCACGTTCATGAACTCATACGAACTGTACCAGATCGAGATCACCAAGAACTACACAAGCAACGAGTGGCGGGAGGACTTAAAGAAGATCATGCTGCAAGTTGGCGTGGCCATCAAGAACACTGTGTTCCTCTTTGCCGATAACCAGATCAAGGACGAGTCCTTCGTGGAGGACATCAACATGCTTCTGAACACAGGTGACGTGCCCAACATCTTCCCGGCTGACGAGAAGGCTGACATTGTTGAAAAGATGCAAACGGCGGTCAGGACAGAAGGAGAGAGGATGGAAATCAGCCCTCTTTCTATGTATAATTTCTTTATCGAGAGAGTGAAAAAGAACCTTCACATTGTCCTTGGTAAGACGTAAGCAGAGTCTAACTTTTTTCTCTGGTTGTAGAAACCTAGGAGTTGTGTTTAATGTCTTTCTCCCAGCGTTGAACTGCTAACTACAAAGTCAGCAGTTCAAAGCTGCCGGCTCATGTATAGGTGAAAGATGAAATTATGTTTCTCCTGTAAAATTTTTAGCCTCAAAAAACCTATATGGGATTGCTTTGCATTAGAAATGACTTGATGGCAATGGACTAAGTTTCTGTTTGGTTTTCTTATTACTAAGTCCTGTTGATTTTTACCTCCCAAATATCTTTCATTTTTTCCCATTTATCTCCATGCCAACCACTTTCACATTAGCTAAGCTACCATTATGTCACCCAGGACCAACCCTTTCAACCTAACTGTGCTATCTATATCCACTCGCATCGCCTCTTCTGGACCTTTCTAGTTTTCTGAACTAGGATGCTTTTCCCCATTTATTGCAAATATGTTTCTCTCTCTCTCTCAGCTGTCCATTATGACAAAGATGAACATTCCTATCATATGGTGTTTTGTTATAAGAAAGGGCCCTACCTCACTATCCAGTTTCCTCTCCCCCACATCTCAGAACCAAGCTTTCCCTTCTCCGTGTGTTCTTCAGCCACACTGATCTCCTCACAATTCCATTCACGTATCCTGCTCTTGTAATCTGCTCATGTATCCTCTACCACACTGACTCCAAAGAACCAAGGAATGGAATTCAGAGCATACAGCCCAAGATTTTTGGTTGGAGGGAGAATGGAGTCAGATAAAAGCTCATGGCCCACACAACTGCAATCAGCACCTATGGGTTATCCATTGCTCTGCCTGTTGGTACAAAAAGAGAAAGAAGGGCAAAGAATTCAAACTATCCTGGCGATGACATTATCGGAAGGGTCTGGAAAGGACAACTGTGGTATGAAAAGCCAGTAAGATGATTGTTAGGTGCTGTGATCCCATTACCATATTGCATAAAATTATTCAAAAATCCCCTTGAGCCTCCCACACACTTAGCTTGGCTATTCCCAATTACATACCTGGAATGAGAAAGGGAAGCATAGACTACCCACCCACCCCCCAACCTGGTCCAACTAGCACCCTTAAAAATACCTATTTTTCCCCTGGGGGAATACAACTAATGAACTTGCTTTCCATAAGCCATGAGTCCGATTGGTGATGCCTTCCGGAACCGCCTGCGGATGTTCCCTTCCTTGATCAACTGCTGCACGATTGATTGGTTCCAGTCCTGGCCCACAGATGCCCTGGAGTTAGTGGCTAACAAATTCCTGGAAGATGTGGCTCTCGAGGACAACATTCGAATAGAGTAAGTGTTAGCTGCAATAGAAAATCTAGATGGCGGTTCTATTTTTGCTGTTATTTCAAAGACTTCTCAATTTAATAGAAAAAAGGTCTTATACTTTTAAAAATCAAACTACATGTAGTTGTACATTTAATAAAACACCTCTGCTGCAAAAGGACAAAATTACATGGTTAGAATTATGCCATACATGTTCTTGTCATAGCTATGAGGGATGGATATAATATAGCTACTTCAGTAATCTTAGAGCATGCGTGCTCAACAAGGATGCCATCACTGCCAAGGCAATGAAACTTGGTTTGGGGAATGATGAAAAAAAGCTTACTTTTTTATTTATAAATCTCAGGTCTTCAAAAAAAACACCAAAAACAAACCCAAAAAACAAAGCACTTAATTTTAGCTAGAGCAAGGAAAGAGACAAGACTGTAGGCCATTCAGGGAATTCCATGCAGGCAAGGACCATGCCACGTACTGTGTCTGTATCCACATCCTTAGTCCTAGCAGGTATCCGGTGGTCCATAACAAGCTCAATGAATGTTTATTCAATGAACAAAAGAAAAATTAAGATGTTTAACAAAGGTAAGAATGTTGCTGCCCTTGTACACTGTTCTGAAGACTTTGAACTTTATTCTCCAAGGAAATTTCTTAACCTGGGGTGACTATATGTTCAGGGCTGGGATGTGAGGGATCAGCAAATATAAAGGTGGAAAATTTCATCTTCATTTTCACTGTGGTCTAACTAGTATTTTACACGTCCTTCAAATCAAGAATGTATGCAGCAAAACCCAGTAGAATTTGCAGAGTCTGTGCTTTGGTTACCAGTAGGATAAGGGCTATTTTCAGAACTCATTCAGCCATTTTAGGTACCTCAGTATATCGTTTCCTTTAAAACAATGGTAGTTATTTAACCCAGGGCTCAGCAAACTATGGCCTCCGGTCAAAATCTAGGATACAACCTGTTTTTGTAAGTACAAGTGTATTGGAACATAGCCATTCCCATTGGTTTTCATATTGTGGGACTGCTTTCTTACTACAAAGGAGAGTTGAGTATGTTGTGACAATGGCTGTGTGGCCTATAGTCTCAAGTGTTTACTATCTGTCCCTTTACAGAAAAAGTGTTCCAATCCCTGATTTAATGCTCTAGTTAAGAAGCAAATAGATTACTAAGTCACAAATTTATGTTTTAAAAGAAAACTATTTAAAACAAAGACTAGCATTGTTCTTTGGAGTGGCATGTATTTTATTTAATCCAGTGAAAAACATTGTTCTGGAAAGGCCAGAGGCTTCGCCACTCTACCAAAGGTGAAGAACTGCTGCTGAGAGTCTGGTTATTCATTAAAGGGATTGGGGGTGGAATTGGTTTGGCCCAAGATCTTTCTCTATCTTGACTCTGATGAACTCTCTTTAGGCAATTTTTTACTTGAATGGGCTATAGTCATGTGTGCATTCCTGCACTCTTAGGTCTGTACTGACCTTGTGCTCAATCTCTCTGGAAGAAGTGGGGCTTATCTAACTACCTTCATGTCCTTGGCAGGGTTGTCTCCATGTGCAAATATTTTCAGGAGAGCGTGAGGACTCTGTCGCTCGATTTTTACAACACACTACGCAGACACAACTACGTCACCCCCACCTCCTACCTTGAATTGATTCTTACCTTCAAGGCACTCCTGAATAGCAAGAGGCAAGAGGTTGATACAATAAGGAACCGCTACCTGACAGGCCTTCAGAAACTTGATTTTGCAGCTTCACAGGTGAGTCAGCAGCTACTAACGTAGAACAGAGATAGACTGGTGTAAATCTAGGGGGAGCTAAGTGCAGCTCTCATTGGAGCAAACCATTTCAGGGGGACCCCAACAAAGAGAGGCTCTGAACCTGTGTTTGTACAATTCCCTTTATTCAGCTTACCTTAATTGCAGCACTGTCAAATCCTCTCTTTATTTAAGATTTTGATATTTTGTTCATCATGGATTGTTTTTCATTAATTTTATTTGGGGGGGAGGGAGAGGAAGAGAAGCATGGGAAGCAAGCTGTAGGAGAAAGCAATGGGACAGATGGTTCCAGAGGGACTTGGGGGTAGGAGGAGGCAGGGGAAGGGAACCGTGACCAAACAATGCATAGACAGGGGAACAACTAGGGAATTAAAATCAACAATGAGGAGGATGTAGAGATCCCAGGGCTGTTGGAGCAACAGCAATCTAGCTGAGTTGAATTACTAAGAAGCAGAAGAAGGGCGAGCATAATGGTGGAGCAGGAGGAAGGTAAAAGGAAGCAGAGGAAAGATCTAGGAAGCTGTGTTAGACAGGGTTCTCTAGAGAGATAAAACCAAATTGCTGATAATTCAATATATTTATTTATAAAGATAATTAGATATATAACGAGAAATGAACTGTTAAATCATATACAGATAAATATATAATACAAGAAAGAAACAGTTAAATTACAAAGCACTA